CGCCCCCGCGCCGCGGCCCGCACACGCGCGCTCCCGTCGCCTCCCGCCGCGGGCGGCCACTGGGCGGCAGGTAGCGAGCCAGCCGGCCTCCGTCCGGTAACCCATAGCAACCGCCCTGGTAACCCATAGCAACTGCGCTCAGCCTCAGGGAGCGAGAGAGAGGGGGGCGGCGGGTGGTGAGTGGGAACAACAACCGCAAGCAGACAGCGATTTACAGCCCCGACCGGCGGCTCCCGCCCACCTGCTCCGAGCGTGGGCGCCGCGGGGCCCCTCCGGCGTTAGCGTGACACCGCGGGCTGCCGGGGAAACAGAGAAGTGAAATGATACTGCGGGGGGCCTGGGGGCTGCGGGGCCTGGCCCGAGCGCCCGCACCCCGGTTCCTCGCCGCACAGGCTCTCGCGCTGGCCAGCGCTCGCGCGGGGGCCCAGGCGGGTCGGGCGGCGCGACCCCGGCCTTTGTTGTGTTGAAGCCCGCGGCTATGCTAGGGACCGGGTGCGGCCCAGGCCTGCGTGTCCTCCGGCCCGGTGTCCCCTGGAGCCTCGCGCTGGCCTGATCTGCCCGACCCGAGACGGGACAGTCGCGCCTTCGGGTCCCGAATCGGCCGGCGCGAGGGCGGGGTGAGTGGCGGAGCCGAGCGGGGCACCGCCCTGGGCCGAGGCCGGCAGCCAGAGGGGGGCGCTGCCGGGCCGAGCGCGCCGCCCGCGGCAGGAGGGGGCTCGGTCCCGGTGGGAAGAACCTGCTGCCCACGAGGGTTTCCGGCTGCTCGGAGCAACATCTGCTCGCTAGTGGGTCCCGGAACCTCCGGTCCGGGTGTTCCAAGAGGAGTTAGGAATGACAGCGAAAATGGTCCCTTTAGATACAGACGCCTACGATCCAAACGTCTCCAAGCAAATCCAGTGGGGTGAAGACAATGTGTTTGCATCCCAGACGTCGAGTGACACCTGGCTTTGATTCCAAGAGCATTTTTATTTTTTTAAGAAAAGGTTTGGCCAGGAGTAATCTTCAGAAACCTAGATTATTCTACCCTTTGTGGGTGTGTATCAGTCACATGTTTAATCCGTAGGCCCAAGACCTACCCAGATATACTGTAACGCATACACTTGTACAGTGTTCCTTTCTCTAAATGTGGTTAGCTAAACAGCGGTCTATATAGCTAACGTTTTTACCCCCAGACAAGAGTATCTGGTTATGTATTTAATTCTTTCATAAAGACAAGCAGTATCTGGATGTATATTTCTGCTGCCACATAGATCTTAGGGAAAGTTGGTTTATTTTCATAAATAAACATCTTTCGGGTCCTTTCGCTGCCCATATAGCGTCAGACATAAGGCATTTGTACACGGTTAGGGGTAAAACACAAGTACCTGCCAGCCCTGGGATTCATTTAGTGTAGTCCCAGCTCTGTACAGTGGTGTACTGGGAGCGTGTGCTTTCATTTAAAATTTTTTTTTTTAACAAAAGCAATTACAGAAAAGTGCAAATTTAACGTGTGACATTTAACATTTTGCTGTGGCAGGCAGCCTCCACTTAAATGGGGCCTTTCTGCGGAACAACAGGAGCCAAAAGGCCTTGTGTCATGGAGTAATGTAAGACACAATCTGAGCTGCAAACGCACAATGAATCGGGAAGGATTTATGTAATTAATTGACCAGTCTTAACCTGTTATCGTGATGTAAGGAATTTGGAACTCATTAATTTGGGCTCTGACAGATTTCATATTAGAGCTGGCAAATATGGATTGAGCCTCTTATTCTTGTAGCAGCTGGAATTTCCATGACAGCAAGGATTAGTGAAGAAGACCTATTGCTGGAGTCAAACTGCCTCTTTGTAATCAGTAGCCCTGCTCTGCATTGAAGGAATAATAATAAAAAAAAGGAAGAAGAAAAAAAGGAACAACATCACACCTGGTATAGGAAATGGAAAGGGCTCTGTATCCTACTGTTATGTGTGTTGAGTGCACAAATTTGCAGTTGAATGAAAGTTTTAATTTCAGTCATAAAGTTAGATGCTTTCTCAAGCATTCAAGGGAAGAGACGGTAGGGTCTCAGCGTTGCCTTCTTATTGTCAAAGATGGAGGCTTTGAATTCCTTCTGTGTGCGCAGAGAGACTGTGGGAGGAAAGAAATAGAAGTCTAATAATAGGCAAATGGGATTCCTTGTAGGGGCCTAAGCACACATGAGCCTGCAGGTAAGGTTGGCTTCCTCCGGAGCCACTTCCTGCCTCTTGGTCGGAGATCCTTAGTGAACCTCATGAAACCCAGACCATACTCAATGAGCATTTAGCTGATAATCTAATCTGTGCCCTCTTCACATGAGTAATGTTTAGTGATTCTCCCATTTGCAAATGTCAGGTTTCTTAAGAAAACCCAGTAAAAACCTAACTTTCATGTTTTTCCTCTTAACAATTAGAAAATTACTAGGTTAAAAAAGTTCCCAGAAATGAAATGAAAGTTTTTTCCTTTGTTTACAATAGGTCTCCCTTATTGCTACGCCGTGTGATAAGGTTAATGCAACAGCTGCCATAGGATCATTAATATCGGAAGATAAGCACACTTGCATGTTTAAAACATTTGCAGAGTATCATTTGCCTCCTTCTGCTGATAAAGAAGACTTTGGTGACAAATACAGAGCACAGGCACCGAATGTTTAACTTTTCAGACTCAATTGCCTTTTCCTAAGTATGTTATTAGGCCTAAATACTCTTCCAAGTTGGGTGCTAAGTGCTCTTGAAATATGTTTTTAATTTCTTTATTACCTTTAAAATTTTTCCAGTCAAACATAACATATTTTATCATAACATTGCTATAAATCTTGGCAAAAACAAAAAGATCTCCTTCCCTTCTTCTGTGGTTATCTTGGTTCCAACCAAATTCCAGTGTAAAGAATTTTCATTTTAGTCAGTGCTAATGGGATTTGATCTATCAATGAAGGACTTGGTACAGAGATTTGCTTGCGATTGTCTTGTTAAGGAGTGATTTCTTCAGCTTTGTTTCCATTTAAATGAATGTGTAGCGATAAACACTAGAATTTGCATCAATATATTAATGTTATCCTTCACGTTGAGAGCAAAAGAGAGTTAGTTGTTACTGGT